AGCAGGGGCAGTCAAGCCGGAACCCCAGAGACTCACAAAGTGCCATTGTGCCTGCGGCGGTGACTTCATCCGCAGCGCCCACCGCGTGAGTAAGCAGGATCTCCTGGGTCCTTTCTTAACTCAAGACATGCTTTTGTCCGCGACCCCTTCAGATCCTGCCCCTGGGATCATCCTTGTGACTGGCATCCTTGGTTTCATCCTGGGACCTTGCATCTTCTTTTTTCTCTCTTTCCTGCTGATCCATTACTGCAGAAAGAGAGAGCATCAAGGTAGGCTCTAATAAGTAAAAGGGTCTGGGATGGGGAGAGCTTGTGGACGATGGGGAACGAAGAGCCCGCTGTGGTGTGAGATATGGAATCTGTGCCCTGTCTGTACTCCATTTTCTGGAAAATGACACCCATGTTTCTCTGAACTCTAAGCCTCGGTGACTCTGTGTTACAAGTGCCAAGGAAGGGCCCAGCACAGTAGCCTAGTGGCTAAAGTTTTTGCCTTGCATTTGCTGGGATTCCATATGAACACTGGTTCATGTCCCAGCTGCTCCACTGCCCTTCCAGCTCCCTGCTTGTGTCCTGGGAAAGCAGTAGAAAATGGCCCCAAAGCCTTGGGACCCTGCACCCATGTGGGAGACAAGGAGGAAGTTCCTGGCTTCAGATCAGTTCAGCTCTAGCTATTGTGGCCGCTTGGGGAATGAACCAGCAGATGGAAGCTCTTTCTCTCTGTCTCTCCTTCTCTCTGAAGATGTGAATTTCCAATAAAAATTTAAAAATACCTTTTTTAAAAAAGGAAGTGCCAAAGAAATTCAGTATCATATATACAGCAGTAAGTTCAAGGTTAGGGAAGGGGACAGAGAAATTAGATGAAGAATATAAAAATATAAAAAAAAATTTAAAACTATAAAAACAGGCAGCAGTTCTGGTGAGTGGAGTGTTTCTCATGCAGTCATTGTGTCAGTCTTGATAGAGGTTTCATCTGAGTGAGGACGTCGGTGCGGGCTGCGCAGCCGGCAGCAGGTGCATGTCTCTACCCTCCACTGTGTGTTCTTGCAGTCCTAAAGCATTGTTTGAGGTACTTCGCAGCAGTGCTGTGCCTCTCCCAGGTCCTTCTTCAGAGCCACAGCTTCTCCAGCTCTGCAGGTGCCAGCCGGCCAATTCCCTGCTGACCCCAAGTCTTCTACCTCGGAGTGCAAATGCCTCAAGGCCAAGTTTGTGTTTTGAACACTTACCTAGTTTCCACTTGTGTGCACCAGTAATTGGGATGTTTCTGGCCTGTCAGATAATTCCAGCTGCCTCTGTGCGCAGAGGGGAAAGACAGAGCGGTTTTGCAGATGTCCTGGCCGGTGGGGGAACAGCTCTAAGCACTGGGGCTACTTGGGGAGTGAACCGGAAGATGGAAGAGCTCTGTCAGCTCTCCACACCTCTGTCTTTCAAGCCTTAGGAGACGTGTTTGGTTAACATGGAACACTTGCACATTTTTATGAGGTACAGCACAGCAGCTCAGCACATACACAGTGTGCACTGCTCCACCAAGGCAGCCCGTCTCCTTATTCGGGGCCTGTCAACGCTTCCCTGACTGTGTACAACACCCGTGTTCCATGTTCACTGCAGCACAAGACAACACTGACAGCCTGGGGCATCCATCAATGGATGAATGCATACACTCTATTTTTTTTATGATTTATTTATTTTTATCGGAAAGGTAGATTTAATACGAGAGGGAGGGGAGACAGATGGATAGAGATTTTCCATGCACTGGATCACTCCCCACATGGCTGGATTGGCTGGAACTGAGCTGATCTGAAGATAGGAACTTCTTCCAGGTCTCCCATCTGGTTGCAGGGGCTCAACGTGGGACATTCTGCACTGCTTCCTTAGACCATAAACAGGGAGTAGGATTGAAGTGGAGCAGCTGGTGCCCATATGGGATACCGACACTGCAAAACAAGAAATTATCTTGTTAAGCCACTGAGCCAGCCCTAGTAAGCTCTATTTTACCTCGACACCTTTCTTGACTGCTCTGTGACCCCAGAAAGGATCTGAATTGTCTGTGTTCTTGAATTGCAGGTATGGGTTTATACAAAGATCGTGCGATCCTATTTTCTAAACAAAGGCAACTAGTGTAACAGAATTGTTATAAAGGACAATTGAGGAATGTAATATCATGGGAAGATTTAGTTTGGTGAACATTTTGATGCTTTGTGGGAAAAATTCCTCAATTGTTCAGAATGTCTTTGGTTAGAGACGTGCGATTGTGCATTCCTGAAGAGATTATAGGAATTTTATAGTCAAACACTGATGTACATATAACAAAGTGGATGATATGGGTCTCCCTCGTGGGTACAGGGGCCCAAGGACTCGAGCCATCATCCACCGACTTCCCAGGTCATAAGCAGAGGGCTGGATGGGAAATGGATTAGCTGGAATACAAACCAGCACTCACACGGGGTGCAGACGCCACAGGGCAGAGGATTAGCTTGTTGTGTCAGGATACTCACAGTTCTTTTCTTGTCTCTGGGCATGATTATAATGAGGCACTGAGTTTCATGTTTCTGGTTTTTTTTTTTCTTATTCAGCAGAGAAAAATTTGGAAGAGGAGAGAACCCTGCGTGAAGAAGTGGAGTTTGAAAGTAAAGATGTTGAGATTACAAACACTGCATTTGCCTTGGAGGAATCAATATGCCTGTACTGAAACTGTGGTCACATTTTTGATCCAGACTAGAGGTTCAGGAATGATCATTCTTGTCCAGACAGGATAATTCTGACTTGTGTTCCATTTTTATATAAGTAGTCCAATAATAAATGCTTTGTTCCTTCCACACTGGTTCTGCGTGATTGAGGAATCATGAACAATGAAAAGCTTTTATGGCACTTGGGTCCAGCCCACTTTAACTCAGACACAGCTTTCCTTCTCCTGGGTATATCGTAGTTGAGTGACTTGAGGAAAGATGAGCGGGATTTTGAGGTCAGCTCTGGAAACGCCACACCTAGGAAGCCCTCTCCAACAGCTCAGAGAAAGAATGGAGGAAGTGAAACAGAGAACCCAAGACCATATCCATAAATATTTTATTCTGAGTACAGATTGGGCTTTCAGTTCTTTCCTAAGATGCACAGCTGGTCTTTCAGGCTTGATTAACACACTGCTAATAAATACATACATAAATACCACAAAATCTAAACAGCTGATTTTCAAAAGAACAATACACATGGATAATGCTATATGCCCTAATTCTCAGTATTATCAATCATCAGAAAGACAAGAACCAAAATCACAATCCCAGCTGATTCCTGAATTGATTCCAAAAAGACAAAAGATAACAAATGCTGCCAAGGTTGGAGAAGAGGAAACACATGCATACTGTTAATAAGGGTGTAAGTGAGTACAACTACGCACAAAACAGCGGTAGGTTCCTTAACCAATGAAAGTAGAAGTCCTCTATGGCCCTGTAATCTTATTGCTGTATATATACACACATATCCAAGGAAAACAAAACAAGTGCACCACCTAGCTATTCACACTCCATGCATATTTCAGTACTATTCACTATAATCAAGAAACAGGAACAATCTAGATCTTAATCAACTGCTGAATGGAGAAGAAAAATGTGGTACATACACACACACACAAAGGCAAAATGCTCACACATAAAAAAAAGATGAAGTTTTGCCATTTGTGCCCGTACGGATGGACCTGGTGATCATTATGTTAAGTGAAATAAGCCAGGCAGAAAAGACAAGTACCACATGATCTGAGACATGTATAATCTTAAAAAGCTGATCTCACCTAAGCAGAGACTAGAATGGTGGTTGCCAGAGCTAGGGAAAGTGGTAGAGAAGGGAAGTCAGGGAAAGGTTGAGTAAGAGGCAGTGAATCGAGAGGCGGTTGTGGTTTGGCTCTTGTGGCAGCCAGATGGGAGCTTGGGTTTGTACGAAGAGTTTAGGAGGTGAACACAGGCTGAGACCTGCCAATACAGCTTAGTAGTTTGACCCATTGAAGAGCCGAGAAAGAGCTGTAGGGGAACCTTAATACCCCATTAACATCCTTGGAAAGATTAATGAGACAAAATTCAGCAAAGAAACAATAGAACTCAGCCAAACTCTAGAGCAAATGGACTTAGTTGATATCCACCAAACTTTTCATTCTACAGATATTACACTTTTTTTTATCAGTACATGGAATCTTTTCCAGAATTGACCGTGATATAGGCAACAAAACAAGCCTCAGCAAATTAAAAATAAAAAACCAAAATTATACCATGCATCTTCTCAGAGTGAAGCTAGAGACCAAAAGTTGAAACATCCAAGAATATTTGCAAACACAGAGATTGACTACTATGATAGTAGATGAGCAATGGATAAGAAAGGAAACATGGGTAATAAAAATAAAAGTAGCTACAGCTGATTACCTCAAGTGAAGGAGCTTCTGGACAGCCGAGAAAACAAACAATCCAGAAAGTGAAGAGAAATTCTGAGCTATAGGAAAATATATTTGCAAACAGTGTATCTGTTTGGATTACTATCTAAAAAAGTAAGGGAAGAGCAAACTTACTACTAAGATGGTTATTCTTTAAACCAAATTAGGGAAAAACAGTATATGCAAACATAAGGTAGCAAATGGAAAGGCATTATTATTATGTTTAGGAAATACTGGAAAAATCAGAGAAACTCTTACTCAAGATCAAGAACTTAAGACAAGTTCATTCATTTCTTTATTTAATGCCCTTAAACATCTTATATGCAATAGTTCACCATCACAAATTTAACTTTTGTAAATTCAGTAGTCTTTGGAATACTGAAAAAGAAAGGACTTAAAATGAGCCTGTAATCTTCAGTGAACAAGGTGCATTCTTTTTAAAAGATTTATTGATTTACTTGAAAGTCAGAGTTAGAAAGGGGTGAGGGAAAGAGAGAAGTCCAGAGAGGCAGGGAGAGAGGGCTGGTTCACTCCCAGATGGCTGCAATGGCTGGAGCTGCGCCTCTTGAAACCCCAGAGCCAGGATCTTTTTTTCAGGTTTATCACATGGGTGCAGGGCCCAAGGACTTGGACAATCTTCCGTTGCTTTCCCAAGCACATTAGAAGGGGGCTGCATGGCAGGTGGACAGCTGGGACTTGAACTGCTGCCCAATGGGATGCCAGTACACCAGGTGGGATGGCTTTATCCACTATTCCACAGTGTCAGCATTTAGAGGTGTATTCTTGTTCCAGTCAAGGTCAGGCCTTCATTGAGGTATTTTAAATGTCAATCTAAAGCATAAATAGAAAAATGTTTATTTTTCTTTTTACGTACATACACATAGAATTCATTACATATAAGACAAAATGACAAATTCATATATATTAAAAAGCATACTGAATATAACCCCAGAAATTTATCTATGCATCTATAACCATCAGTACTCTGACCAACAAGCTAAAATGAATGCCTGGAAAAAATACAATCTCTTCAACAAATGGTGTTTGGAAAATCGGATCTACAGATGTAGAAGTACAAGACATGACCCTAACTTTATTATAAAAATCAACTCATAGCCGATCAAGTATCTATGATCTGATAATGCTAATCCTCAAACTAGTAGGGGAAGACATCAGTGGAAATTCTGCCAGACATTGTCACCGGTACAGACTTCTTGGAAAAGACCCCAGAGGCACAGGAAATAAAAGCAAAAATTGACAAATGGGATAATATCAACCTCTTAAAACGAAACACTCAACAATCACGAGGCAACCGACAGATGGGAGAAAATATTTCAAACTCTGTAACTCATAAAGTCTTAATATGCAGAATCTACGAAAAGCTCAAAAAACTCATCGACAATAAAACATGCAGTTTAGTTACAAAATGATCAAAGGACAAGAATGGACTTTTTTCAAAGGATGAAATGGAAATGTTCAACAAACGCATGAGAAAATTGTTCAGGATCCATTAGCTCTCAGGGAAACGTACATGAAAACCACAAGGAAGGTTCATCTTACCTGTTAGAATGGCTATCATCCAAAAAGTAAAAAACAATAAATGCTAATGAATGTGGGGCAAAGGCACCCTAGCTATTTGTCAGAATACAAGCTAGTACAATGATATGGAAAACAGTGTGGAGATTTCTCAGAAATCTGAAAACAGACATCCCACTCTTGAAGTGTTAGAGAGAAAGTTACACCAGTATTCGGAGGAGTTATTCTTATCTCCATGCTTACTGCAGATCTTTTCACAATAGCTAAGACATGGAACGAACCTGGATGCTCATCAACTGATGATGAGATAAAAGAATTGTGGCACACACACTGTGGAATACTACTCGTAGGTGAGGTAGAACAATTCATCTAATAGGTTTATTTATTTATTTGAAAGCATTGCAGAGAGAGAGGGAGAGGCAGAGAGATCTACCCACAGATTCACGTCCTAGATGTCTGAAACTTAACACGATTGCATCAGGCTAAAGCCAGAATCCTGGACATCCATTTGAGTTTCCCATGAGTGACAGGGGTCTAAGCACTTGGGTCATCTGTTGCTTCTCCCAGGTCATGAGCAGGGGGCTGGATCTGAAGCGGAGCAGCTGAAGCATAACTGGTGCCTGTATGGGATGCTGCTGTTCAATGTGGTGTTCTTGCCCAATGTGTCACCATGACGGCCCCTCCTGTAGTGTCTTGAACAATCTACCATTTTTACTGCGACATGCATTACACAGCTGCAGATGTAGGTTATCTTGTCTCTGAAAATATTTCCATTAATTTATGCAGTTTTTCCTTAGTTCCATGTATATATCATCATTATTGCCAACAATAAAAAAGCTATTGCTAGACCATACAGTTATAATTAAGAAATTGATCTAATTGCTGCAAGAGTCCAACTAGCTAACCCTCCCCCTGCAAACACTGGCATACCATATGGGCACCAGTTCATATCCTGGTTGCTCCATTTCCCATCCAGTTCCCTACTTATGGCTTGGGAATGGAGTGGAGGATGACCCACGCCTCGGGACCCTCATCATGTGGGAGACCTCAAAGAGGCTCCTGGCTCCTGGCTTCAGATGGGCTCAGTTCCAGTCATTGTGGTCACTTTGGGAGTGAACCAACAGATGGAAAATCTTTCTATTTGTCTCTCCTTCTTTCTGTAACTCTGCCTTTCCAATAAAGAAATAAATCTTAAAAAAAAAAAAGAAGTTGGCTCACATTTACAAAAAGCTATTCTTTTAGATTCTTAATATTGATATATGTGTTTATAAACATGGATTCATATAGATGAGGTGTTTGTATGCATAATTTCTTTCTAATGGTGGAAGAACTTAAAAATAATGTATTATACTGAACCTCACTCACCTTGTGGGTTATACATTCTTGTTTTCTTTTTCTGTTTCTCTTATAATGGCACCTTACATTCCAGAAATAGGAAGAGATTTAGACATGGAAATTAGAGACATTAAAACCATGTGACTCATTAGAACGTTAAAAAATGAAGGCAATAGTTACCAGGGAAAAAAAATAGATTTCCCTCAAAATGCCTGTGAACTAAGATAATGTCCACAGTTAGGACAACAAGCAAATAGGATTTAAGGGCCTAGAAAGCCTTTCTGATCCCTTGGATATGTGGACTGACGCAGCATGGATCCTTTGAGTTGAATAAGCAAGGCAAACCCTTCTTAAAAGGGAAAGGCAGATTTGTGGAGTAAGGCCACTCGGTGCCAGGGGTTGTCCCCTCGCTCGGATATAATTAATACACTGGCACTAAACATAAGTTGGAGAACCAATAAAGAAAACACTACGTGAAGAGAAGTAAGGTTCATCTTGTAGACCTAATAAATTCCCACAGGTTGGATATGCAGAAATTTTAAGCTTTTAGACTTTCAGGAGAAATATAATACATACTGAGTTCAATAAAAGAAAGAGAAAGGAAGTGGAAATGAAAGTTACATAGGTCAGGTCGCAAAGCTATAGACACACACGATTAACCTGTTTAAACATTTAAAGTGCAAAGTGAAGATCATAAGTGAGTAAACTGAACTATGCCTGTGAATGGGATCTGTACTAAGTATATTTTATCTGCTTTTGCCTCAAGATAAACATCTTCAAATGAGTAATCTTGTGAGATGTGGCTATACTAATTTTCTTCAGCTTAGTAATCTTTTTATTTTTTGCATATATCCAATACTATCATTTGCAACCATTAAATACATACAACAAAATTTAGTTTTTAAAAGACAATATCTAAATGGGTTCTTATAGTAGTTTTAAGAAAATCAAATTCCATTTTAACAAATTGAGATACAAGTCAAGACATTCTGATGCATAGTTATTTCCAACTCTGCCTGAGTTACTTTCGCAAATTGAACTGTAAAAGCATCCAAAATAATAATTAACATAACAAAATTAATTTGGGGGAAATATTAATAGAAATCGTAAGCAAAGAGCCTGCCTAAGATTGCAAATCTTCTAGGTCCTCTCAGAATAGCTTTCAGTCCATCCCTGCCTTTCTTTTCCTGTAAATGCATCGTAAGCTCCCTGCGACCTATGTTTAGGACTTTCCCAGTGTTAAGCAGAGTCGATACCTCAGGCTCGGCTCTTTTCCCTGGTCCACCTCTGCGAGTTGCAGATGCTCAAAGTAGTCACTGACCTGAAGAATTCAGCGGGTCCAGATCATCTGACTTGGCTGAAGAATTCATCTCCTGGTACTGAACTTGGTGAACAAACTGTTCTCCTCTTGAGAAAACTGAAAACAGAGCTCTTAGGTGAGGGCAAACTTAATGGGTCTTAATTCATGCTATCAGCTTCAGCCTGGCCTCCTGCCAAGCTTTTTCATTATGTCACACACACACACACACACACACACACACACACACACACACACACACACACACGGTGCAATTCTAAACATTTCCTATTGACAGTAAGTAAACAGCCACATTTTCTCATCAAGGAAGTCAGCAATCATCTGTAAGCTACTGGTATTCTTTTTTAATCTTTCTAAAAACTTTCCTATTCCCTTATTTCTTATTCTAGTTAAAGGCCTTTTTCATCTTTCAGCTGAATTATTCCAAAATGCTATTCCTGGCAGTTCCTGCTTTGATCTTTCATCCATTGTGGTGCCAAAAGCTCTTTCTAGAGATAGCCTGGCGGTTTCAGCTCCTGTGGACTGCTCTAGTGACTAAGGATCTTGCACGCTCCTTCCCTCCTAACAGCCTTCTCAGCAGCTTCTCTCCTTGTGCTCCCCTACGAAACCATGAAAGTGCTGTCCTTTAAGCTTGTCCATGCCTGCACAGGGCCCTCTCTCTCCCTAAAATTCCCTCTTTCCATGACTTGAGCTTATATCTTCAAAACTGGGCTCAAAAGCCTTAGAAGCCTCCCAGAAATTCTTTCTCCTTTCATGCGTCATTCGCTTCTCTGTGCCTCTTTGGCTTTGGATTCAATCTGATGTGTGTTGCCACATTGTAGATGATTGTTCTGTACATACACCCCTTGTATGAAGATGACAACACTGTATCATCCATTTCCATATCAGGCAGACCTATTAGAGAAACCCAGAGTTTGCCTCAGACCTGTAAGCTGCTGTATTCGTCTTCGGTTTTGAGCCCGCGAGAGGAATGCAATGAGAACGGCCAACAGGATGACTCCCAGGATCCCAAATGCAATAAGAAAAGGATGACCTACACAGAAGTAAAAAATCAAGAGGGATGATAATGCCTGGGCTTAAAGATCTGGGTTCTAATTATTTCCAAAAGTTGGAGATGAAATCACTGAAATAAACTGCCAATCTTCAGGCTTCTGACCCCAAGTCTCTGAACAAGAAGGATTCTAAGGAAACTTCAAGTTAGCAAATCCCATGACATACCTGTGTTTCTCAGTGATCCTTGGGTATCTGAAATTCCTGCAAGGAAAAAAGAAAGATGCTTACTTCTGGATAAAGAAAACATAGCTGTTTGAGCTCAATATCTTTTTGATGAAGTGAACTACTCCCAAACTGAAACTAGACTCTCCTTGCCTTTCTTTCCTCTAATACATACAGGTTACTTACTTTTCCCCAATGAAGGCCAACATATGAAACTACTTTAAGAAGTTTATGGAAAAACAGACTTATAAGTCTGAGGCTGGCAATATGGTGTTCCAGGAAAAACCATCGCCTGCAACACTGGCATCCCAGGTGGGCACCAGTCTGAATTCTGGCTGCTTCACTTCCGATCCAACTTGCTAACAGTCTGAGAAAGCACCACACGCCAGAAGTTCATGGAGCAGAGTGGCAACAGTCTGAGAAAAGAGGCAAAAATGGCTTGGGTGTTTTGACCCTTATTACTTACTTGGGAAACCTGAAGGAAGCTCCTGGCTCCAGGCTTCAGCCTGGGTCAGTTGTGGCTGTTGAGGCCTTTTGGGGAATAAACCAGAGTATGGAAGATCTCCCTCTCTGTAATTCCTTCAAATAAAATTTTTTTAAAAATGGGCTCTGCACAGTATCCTAGCAGCTAAAGTCCTTGCCTTGCATACACCAGGATCCCGTATAGGTGCTGGTTCTAATCCCAGCAGCCCCGCTTCCCATCCAGCTCCCTGCTTGTGGCCTGGGAAAGCAGTTAAGGAGGGCCCTGCACCCAGAGAAGGCTCCTAGCTCCAGTAGGCTTTGGATCAGCTCAGTGGTCACTTGGGGAGTGGATCATCGGATGGAAGGTTTTCCCCTCTGTCTCTCCTCCTCTCTGTATATCTGACTTTGCAATAAAAATAAGATTTATTTTTATTTTTTTTTTTATTGGAAAGGCAGATATACAGAGAGGAGAGACAGAGAGGAAGATCTTCCGTCCGATGATTCACTCCCCAAGTGAGCGCAACGGCCGATACTATGCCGATCCGAAGCCAGGAATCTCTTCCGGGTCTCCCACACGGGTGCAGGGTCCCAAAGCTTTGGGCCGTCCTCGACTGCTTTCCCAGGCTACAGGCAGGGAGCTGGAAGGGAAGCGGGGCTGCCGGGATTAGAACCGGCGCCCATATGGGATCCCGGGCGTGCAAGGCGAGGACCATTAACCACTGCGCCACCGCGCCGGGCCAATAAATCTTAAAATATTTTTAAATTTAGAAAAGATCAGTTTATTTTTGGTGCAAAATGATTTTAAGCCTGCCCATAATATGTGTTTCTATGAAATTTTTGAAGACCCTTCCTAGGACAACATAACTTTTAAATCATTTTTTTTTCCAGACAGAAATATTGTGATTCACTCACTCCCCTCTGATCATTGTTGATACAACCAAGTTTTACATAAGTCCCTCTGTGTCCTCCCTCCACGGCCGCCCCCACCTTCCAGCTTCTTGGTACTCACTTGGGCGACACTTCACAGCAGCATCTTCCTTGTGCCCGCAGTCACTGTGCCCCCAAGGTCTGGCCGGACAGTCCCACAAAAAAGACTCATTTCCTTTGCACTTCACTTCATTGAGCCATATGGGTCCAGTCCCTGGACCAAACGCTGCCTCCTTCAATGCCTCCAGTGCGGTGCCACAGCCCAGCTGACGACACACCACCTGAGCATCCGTAATGTCCCAGGAGTCGTCACACACTGTCCCCCAGGAGCCTCCATGCCAGACCTCTACGCGCCCAGAGCAGCTGTTGGTTCCTTCCTGAAGTCTTATCTTGTCTGAGGAAGCAGAGACATCTGGGTTATTCTGAGAAGACAGAAGCTTCTAAAAAGTCACAGAGGACAAGAGAGCTGCAAAACTGCCTTTTTGAAATCTATCGTAAGCTTCGCGTGTGCGTTAAAATTTACATTTTACGAAAACTATCTTCCATGAATACAGACAGGGAGGAATTTCAGGCTGCTCAATGGACTTGGACCACAACGGGCTGTTGTAGTCCATTGGGGAGTGAGCCTGCAGATGGAAAATGTCTCTTTTCTCTCTGACTCACTTTCTCTGTCATTTTCTCTGTGACATAGGCAATGTCAAATAAATGAGCATGGTAATGTGGAAGGTTAAGTTCCCTGAAATGAAAATCAGCCTGGAAAAATTACCTGGTAGATAGAAATCTTACTTTCTAACAAACGTAGAATGGAGAAACGCTTTAGATTTAATCTCTAGGACTGCTCTGCTTGCTCACTTAGTGCATCGGGATAATATTCAGAAGGAAATGCAACAAGGTAAGGCAGACCATTCACTAGTCAAAATTGGAATCATACATTCTCTGTCCATTTGTTCACACAGAAAGCTGACAGGCAACATTTTCACACAGAGTTTAGGCTGGGCACGAGATCCCTTGCAATAATAATCATTTTCTTGAATGTAGATAACCAGGACAAATGAAGCAACAGCAGCTGTAGCTCCCAGGCGGAACAGCCATTGCTGGTGTGACAGCAGGAACATGAGGCTGAAGGAGCCGTGTCAGAGGGTGACCCCGGAAAGCAGTGGAGGAACTTCAGACGGAATTTGTCCTTAGAACAATGAGTACTCACTGTCGCATGTGATCCAAGCCTCCTCCGAGGGGCTGGCCAATCTCTGTGTCCATGGGGACGATGGACACTCCCACAAGGCGCTAGGTCCCTCAGGACACTGGACATTGTCCACCCACAAGTGCCTGGACGGTGTCTTGTCTGAAGACGCGGGGTCCATGCTTCCCTTGTCTGCGCAGCCCAGCTGCCTGCATACAACTCCCATAGTGGTGGCAGACATGTCCTTCCTCCCAACGCTGCCCCAAGCTCCATCGTAAAAAATTTCCAGGCGCCCTCTACAGGTATCCTTGCTGTTTGCGCTGGTCAGTCTTAGAGACATGAACTCTGGAGTGAGAGAATGAGGGGCCAACATCAAATGATTACAGCTGCAAAAACTGTGGTGTGGGAAGAAGATCCGCATGTCAGTATTGAAAAGAAAATATAAATGAATCTGAAAGTGTTGTCTTGGGTTTTTTGGGCAAACTTATTTATTTATTTAAAAATTAATTTACTTTTATTGGGAAGGCAGATTTGCAAAGAAAAGCAGAGACAAAAAGATCTTCCATCCATTGGCTCACCCCTTTCATCCCCTCAAATGGCTGCAACGGTGGGAGCTGAGCTGATCCAAAGCCAGGATCCAGGAGCCTCCTCCAGGTCTCCCACAGGTGCAAGGTCCCATGGCTTTGGGCTCTCCTCCATCCTTTCCTAGATGATAAGGGAAGTGGAACAGCCAGGACACAAACTGGAGTCTGTATGCGATCCTGGTGCTTGAAGGTGGAGAATTAGCCAATTGAGCCATAGTACCAAGTCCTGTAAATTTGTTTTTACATGCTGAATTAGTCTGTATCGTTTTTATTAAAAGCAGAGTTTTTGTTGCAAAACACAATTAAAAGGGGTCACTGCCATGGTGTTGCATGCTAATTTTCCTCTTGCAGCACTCTCATCCCTTACGGGTGCCAGTTCAAGTCCTAGATGACCATTTCTGATCCAGCCCCCTGCTAATGTGCCTGGGAAAGTAGCGTGGATGGCCCAAGTTCTTGGCACCCTTGACCCAAGTGGGAGATCCAGACGAAGCTCCTGGCACCTGGCATCAAACTGGCTCAGCTCCAGCCATTGTGGCCATTTGGGAAGTGAACCAGATGTTGGAAGTCCTCTCTGCCTCTTTTTCGCTCTGCAATTCTTTCAAATAAAAATAAAATGAATCTTTCAAAACTATTTTGAAACCTAATGGTGTTATTTTAGTGTTGAAAGTACTTTAGACCGTAGATGAATAGCAGGATTTTCAGGTTAGCCACTATGAATATGCATCTAATGTTTAAATTACTAAGATTTAAATTGTACAGTAGCTTTTGAAATATCTTGTTACTGTCTCTTTAAAGCAGGCTGTGAACTCTAATAAAAGATATAAAATGCAAAATAAAAGAGAATTAGTGATTCTATATTATTTGAAGTTGAAGACTCCCTCCTTTGGTCCTGATGCAAGCACAGTGCACTGTGCCAGCCAGTAGCAGTACCTGGGTACCTGCTGAGCGGTTGAGTTGATTCGTGTAAAATACAGAGTTGGCTACATTCATACCTTACAGTTTTCTAGTCTTGAGTTTTGCACAAACTTTTCTGTATGTGATCATTGGCGAGTGTAAGCTGCTTTGTAGGTTTAATCAAAGGCATGGTAGTGTTCCAATTTTCTAGTTTGGATTTACTCCCTAAACTATTGTAGTAGTTTTAACCTTAAGGATCTCACCCGTTCTCCTTCGTTTGCCTTTTGACAACACGCCAGGTGCGTGTGTTTATGTAGTGTGATGTTTCCATTGGTACACACATTGTATAAACATCAGACCGGGTGCTTAGCAAATGTGTCACCTCAAACATGTCTCACTTCTTTGCACGTTCTTTTTTCCTCTGGCAACTGTCTTTGATAAAATTCAGTGCATCAAAGACACTAAAGCCAATATACCAAGCATATTATAAAATGAAAAATCCCGTTTGTGACACTTCAGTTTTGCTGTGCATGCTCTTACCAGATTTATGCCTTGAAATAGAAATTAATCACTTCTGGCATGTGGTATTTTTCACTTCCCTAATTTGTTGAGCTGTGATACTGTTTTCCCCAGTATACTAGATTTTTCTACCTCACATTCATTTTTTGAAACTCACCAAGTATACAAAACAAGAGAAGTGGCTTCTATTGGTCATTTTTTGTTCCTTGGCAAATAAGTCTCCTTTATCAGCCATGATAATTATTTTTTCTCTTAGAATGATAGAATGAGTGTATTTGTCTCTTTCAATCCACTTTTTAATCAATAAAGTAATTATGGAGTGCTGTCCATCAACTCTTCATACAATATCCAGTTCCAAATTGATTTTTAGAAGAACTTCATTATTGACTTTGTTGTTATTTTTAGGATATGCAAGCCTACTTCCAGATTCTTTCTTTATAGTATTATACTACCTGGCACACGAGGCAGTACTTAGCCACCGTATTTCTGGAATTCTGACTCTTACTATAATTTCCTTTGGACTCAGTTTTCAGAGAACTCTTTCAAGATCATCTGTCAGGACCATTGCCCCACCTCAGCCCTTTTAAAATGCACCTGTGAACTAGAGGTTATATGTAGAACATACCTGAGCAGATAACTCCTGCATCCTCCTTATGCCTGCAGTTGTGTCTCTCCCAGCCATGTGAACCGCAGTGCCAAATGTGGGACTCTTCTCCACTGCAGCTCATTTCGTCCAACCAGATAGGCCCTGTTCCTTCGCCAAAGTAAGCCGACACAGTGGCATTCACAGCCGTACCACAGCCCAGCTGCTTGCACACCACATTGGCGTCATGCAGGTCCCAGCTGTCATCGCAGATGGTGCCCCAGGAACCATCACGATAGATCTCTACTCTCCCAGCACAGCGTCCTCCACCATTTGCCAGGCGGAGCTGACCACTCCCTGGGGAGAGTAACAAAAAGCTTCATTAAATGCGTTCATAAACGCAGAGATCATTTTTGTAGAATGGTTACTGATTCTCACCTATGCAGGTATTGTTTTCTGGACTGGTGGAGCTTTTGGGGTCCAAAGAAGACAAATTGCATGGAGGTAGTGTCTGGGACTGATTTCCTGCAAAGACCCAACATGTGGAGTCAGCCGAAAGACAAGAAGTTAGGGGAGAGTTAGGGAGCTCTGATGGAGTGTTAAGTGAGTGAGTGATGAGCAAGCATTGCTTTAGAGAGGAGGGTGAATTAGTCAACGTGGCTGGGGATGAGCTGAATGCTCTGGAAAGAGTTCGGCACAAATTGTGCTTAAACAGCAATGAAGTCTATGAAAATTAAGTTCACTTGCCCTCCAAAATGACAAAGGAGATGAATATGCTGACATACTTCTCATGATTCCGTCTCGCTGACCATTCCCTGTCATTGCTGCTCTCCATCTGATTCTTAAGACAATCCCATGGGAGAAGCTTGGCTCTTCATCCCCTTACCTGAGCAGACGACAGAGGCCACTTGCCCTTCTGAACACAGCGACGCACCCAGAGCAGTTACAGGGCAATCTCCCAAGTGCTGCTCCATCCCAGTGCAGTGGAACTTGTGCCTCCAGACCTCACCACTTCCTTTCCCAAAATGTGCTCTTTCTGGGGTTGAGAGGGCAACTCCACATTTGAGCTGCTGGCAGAGGACATGGGCATCTTCCATATCCCAATGAGAACTGCAGAGGGGTCTCCAAGCCCCAAGCACTTTGAGCTCCACTCTTCCCTCACATGACGACTTGCCGTTCACCAAGCGGACTTCCACGTACCCTGGAAGGAGACAGGGCTTTAGAAAAGGTGGCTGTGACTCCCTGGCCCTGCCCCTTCACAGCATCAGAGCACACTGGATCTCACTTGAGCAAATTACTCCAACATCCCTGCTGTGGCTGCAGCTCCCATCCGAGCGGGGTGCTACAGGGCAGAGTGAAAGATGTGACTCGTCCCCTTGACATTGGTATTCTTCAGCCCAGGTCTGTCCATTTCCTTCTCCAAAGTGAGCTCCCCCCAGGATAGAGACAGCTGTGCCACACTGTAATTCCCTGCAAAGCACGTTGGCAGCTTCCAGAGTGAAGTCGGAATCACAGATGGTACCCCAGGTGTCTCCTTGCTTCACTTCCACACGGCCCGAGCAGGGAACATCCCCTCCAACCAGCCTGGGTTCTTTGTGGCCTGCAAAATAAAAACATGGCTGTGAGAGATGACATAATTTTTAGATTTTTCTTTATGACGGGGTATGGAAGGGAGAGAAGAGCTGGAAAGGAGGTCAAGGGGCACAAATGGCTTTTCAAACGTGTTTCTCCCGACTTTTCTGCCCGGACTTGGGCATGGCGAATTCCCAACCTTCTTGTTCTCTTTGGATCTAAACATCTGGGAGACTTGCATACCTTACTTTTGGCAGCCAGTCATTCCCACAAGCAATGCTACTGCTTTCCTTCACTTACATTATTTATAACAATGACAACAGAGGCCACAGATGAGGTGTATCTGCTGATTCCATCTCGTGGTCCTCCACTCCGCCCACTGTCATCTTGGGTCTGTTTTCACCCTTTTTGATGCACCTGTGTAGTTTTCAGCCTACTCCTGGCTTTCGAAATAGGCTTTCTTTGGACAGCGATTATGTATGACATGATGACACTCCTTTCTCCTGTCTCTCTCCTCCTTCCTTCCTGGCAGTGCCTTATCAAAACCTTTGACATATTTGCTGAGTCATCACTCTACCACCTACCTTCTTAGATGGTTCTGTTCAGGGCCATCTCAACTGCCAATGAGTACATTTTTTCATATGTTTCTCTTTATATTGTTTAAAAACATTTTTGCATTCATTTTAAAAGTCAAAGTTACACACACACACACACATACATACATAGAGTGAGAAAAGGGAGAGAGAGAGACTTTCTATCTACTGGTTCTCTTACAAAATGACCACAACAGACAAAGCTATGCCAGGGTGAAGTCTGGAGTCAGGAAATTTATCTAGGTCTCCCAGGTAGATAACAGATGCCCAAACACATAAGCCGTCTTTTTCTGGTTTCACAGGCCATTGTCAGGCAGCTGGTTTGGAAGTAAAGCAGTTAGGATACAAACTGGTGTCCATATGAGTTGCCACTAAACTCTAGCCCCTACCTCTATATTCTTAAATATATTTTCGTGGACACTTGGAACTTGATGTCTTCAGATTGAAATGATTTGTTGTATGACAAGACCACCATGTTATTTACTCAGCAATATATCCATCAAATTAGAACCACTGGAAATTGAACCACATCTTTATATCTCCCCACAACCAACGATAATAATAACGGCAGTGGTGAACATTAAGTGGGCACACATTATAAACATATCACTTTAATATGAATCTAACAAAATTATTTCAGATTTCAGAAAAACTCTCTAGGTAAAAACTATAAGTATTAGACCAGTTTTACAGACAAAGAAATTAAAGCCTATAGAGACATAGTAATTTGTAAACATCACACAATGAGTAAGATTTGAGGCTAGTTAATGGATTGCAGAGTCGAGGTTCTAGATGTTAATGTTATAGTGCACATGCAGAAAACAGCTGCTTTCCTAGAGTTCTCTAACATGTATTCTCTTTTCCATATTAATTGCTATGGCTTTGATGCAATTGGTTATCATCTGTCATAGACAGATTTGCAGTAGCTTCTTAGGTTGCCTCCTTGCTTCTAAGTCTTCTTCCTAAGAAATTCATGGCATGATCGTATAGTTGTGTTTACATGATTTTGTCTCCAAGAAATTCAAGGCTTTCTTATCATTTATATGGTAATTTATTCTTCCAACAAGTATTATTAAACCAGTTTCTTTTATGAAAAAATTTGTTTCTTTGAAAGGCAGAATTATGGAGAAAAGAGGGGAGACCAGGAGAGAGAGGGGGGGAGAGAAAGAGAGAGAGACAGAGAAAAAGAGAGAGAGAGAAATATGTATCTTGCATTCACTGTTTCACTCCTCAAATAGCCACAATGACCAGGTCTGGACCAGGCAAAAGCCAGAGGCCAGGAACTTCTAAGTCTTTCATGTGGGTGCAGAGGCCTAAGGATGTGGGTCATTGATTGTCTGTCATTTTCCCAGGTGCATTAAAGGGAGTTGGATTGGAAGTGCAACAGCCATATCTTGAACAGACTTCCATATGGGATGCCGGCATTACAAACAGAGGCTTGGCTTACTATGCCATAGTACTGGCTTTTTATTAAGCACTCCCAATGCTGTCTGTCTGTTTTGGGCATTGAGGTTGAGTGAACTAAAAAGTTTACCACAAAGTTCTGTCTATTAGCGAAGACAAACAACGCAAAATGTAACAAAGAGTCTTAGATTTCACCGATGTCACCTTGCTAACAAAATAAAAGAGACATCAAAGCAAAGACCTTCTGCACAGCAAAGGAAACAATCAACAAAGAAATGGACTACTAAGTGGGAGGAAATGTTTGCAAGGTATGTGTCTGACAGGCAGATCATCAGAATGATTTAGGAGCTCAAAGAATTCAATAGTAGGGACTTCGTGGTGGCATGTCAGGCTGATCCTCTGTGGTGGTACTGGCATCATAGGGGCACCAGTTCATCTTCCCAGCTGCTGCACTTCTGATCCAGCTCCCTGATTGTGGCCTGGAAAAGCAGTAGAGGTTGGCTCAAGTTCCTGGGCTCCTGCACTCACGTGGAAGACCTCGAAGTAGCTCCTGAATCCTCGCTTTAGACTGGTACAGTTCTGGCTATTGTAGGCATTTGGGGAGGGAACCAGTGGATGGAAAGATCCTCTCTCTCTCTCTCTTACTCTTTCATTTTTTGTAAAAGTTTTTCAAATAAAAATAAATCCTCTTTTTAAAAAAAGAATTTAATAGCAAGAACCAGATAATCCTAATGCAGCATATTTAGACAGCAGAAAAAACTTAACCATAGAAAGACTGAAATCATGTCAGCAATTTGGATGACACTGGATCCATTGTGTTAAGTGACATAAACCAAGCACAGCAGGACGAGGACTGCATGAACTCACTTGCAAGTGGAGTTCAAGAAATAGTTATCTCACAAGAGTTGAAAGTACAAGGGTGGCTACCTGACACTTGAGAGAGAATGGGATGGGAAAGGAGGGCAAAGTTTGCTCAACAAACCAAGTTACACTTAGATAAGAGCGAGACACTCTGAGGTTCTATGTCATAGTAGGATGACTACGGATAACATTAAAGCTCTGTGCATTTCTCTAGTAAAATTAGAACATAGGATTTTGAAATGTTGAAATGTTTGAGGGAATATAGGTATTGACCCTGATTGTACACTATACAATATATTCATACATCAAAGTATCACCTGGCAAATCTCATAGATATACACACACTTTAGTGTATCTGTTCACAACAAATAAGTAAATGAAAGCAACTTTAAAAGTAGTCACATGATAAGCACTAATTCCTTGGCATATTTTCAACTACTCCATGACATTACGATATTAAAAGGAACGGTTAGCTGTGGCTGTAGGTCATCAGTCACAGGACAATCTCTACCTCAGATTAAGAGAGTGTCTGATCACGAGTTACAGCATGCAGCTGTAGGTTAACTCAATGCTAGACCTGGAATCTAAAATGCTTGTATTGATAAATAAGCAAAAATCGTAATTTGCTAAACATTCCTTTTAAAAAAGTAGGAACGATAAAGAAGCAGATCTTTTGAAAGTCAGAATCAAATGAATGGGAAAAGAAATTCTAATGCACTTGAAAAAATTAAAATAGCCTCATACCGATTCCGTACAAAATTAGGCTTACCTGAAAGAAATTAAAGGCATGAATGAAGTTGCACGATTATTACAAGAGATTTATCAGGTAGAAAGAAATAACTTCAGAAAATTCATCAGGACTGATTTGAAGTTAGGGTTGAGACATTTTACTAAGCGAATGCCTCACTTTCTGACTAGTTTATATCACACATCACCATTCGGAGAAGTGTGGATGATATTCACACATGAATTAACTGGTAGTGTCCTGTATGTTCACAAAATATTGGCTCAATAATACACAAATACCCCAAAGATCTAAGTTGTCTCAGGGAAAAGAACTGAATGGCTGGGGACGATAGTGGGGGACAGTCGATGCTTTCATGTTTTGTAGTTTAAGTCAAGAAAAAAAAAATTAAACAATAGAAAAATTCAAATTTTTATCTTTCTTTTTCCTACCTTTTGCAACCAGGGGATAATGTTCATTCAACAAAAGGTCAAAATAATTCATAACATCTGGGAAGGCACTAAGGGGCAGGCAAAGCACACATCGGTTCGTAGACAGCAGTACACGGATATCTGTTCTGTGCAATGAAGTCCTTCTATATTGACTGTTCTTTTTCTTATATTGTATTCTCTGAAATTTTTATTCACGGGAGTAGCAGTGACCATATCAACTTGGAGTCATTGAAAAGACATCACTTTTAAGTACAGCTGGCATTTGTATAAAAATAGCACAAAATGCTGAAGTTTATTCACAAGTCTTGTCAATTTACAGTTTGCTTTGAGCTTAGTAAACAGGTTGCGATGAAATATACAAAACTGTTCAAAAAGGGAAATCCGTCACGATTAGAGAATCCGAGGTTAAGTCCCATCTGTTTCATCAGCGCGGTAATTTTAAAAATCCTTTCAAAATGTTCCCATGAAAGGCATCTTCAAGTTCTACCTTACAAGTTTCAATCCTTCGACTCTGAAATCTTTGTGATTTAAAAAATTCAAAAGCCAAAGAAGCCAAAACACACACACCTTCATCCAACGTGGTGAGAAAGATACCAATCATAGAGACTAGTATTTCTTGGGAGTTTCCAGAATACCACTGGATATTTACAATGTTAGGATCAAACTTTTTAGCAAATTGATAAAGCACCTTACCTGAGCAAGTGATTTCGGCGTCTCCATAATGACAGGAAATTCCACCCCACTGCCAATTGGTGCAATCCCAAAGGGAGGTTTCATTCCCAACACAGCTGTTGATAATTAGCCATGTGTTTGTTGCCTTCGGTTTGGAATACACCTGGTAGGATTTTTTGAGTGCAGATCCGCATCCCAGGTGCCTGCACACTATGTTGGCATTTTCCATGTACCAGCCACTGTTAGAACACACCTTCCCCACACGTTTCTGAATTTCCACCTCCACTGTTCCAGCACAGCGACTACCACCGCCTACAAGTCTCAGCTCCAGGTCTGAGCCATCTGCAAAAAGAAACATCAGCTGAGGATGTACATATTCTCAAAGGGTATTTTTTTTAGGGGGTCTAACATCTCAGATACTAGAAATGATGGTTTATTTATTTTCTGACTTACAAGGAAACAACAAGTACAGATTATGAATTTGATTAGAAAAGAAGGAAGCTTCTAAAAATTGTCCAGACACGCATGAGCAATTCAGCCAGGAGAGTCTCACGGAATGTTGTCCCTGAACAAGGTGGATTTAGAATTTGAGGTGTGAAAATTTTAATAAGTAGTACAAAGAGAGTCGGATCACCCTCCACCTTGGCTGAATAAGAACCTAACAGGAATTCTTCATGACTTTATGTGAATTTCCACTTTGTCAGGTTTGCTTATAACTTGCATCTCATGCCTGTTTTTACTCCTAAAGAACTCAGCTCCTCCCTCCTCTGCTTTTTGTTTTGTTTTGACTTACCTGAGCATGTCACACCAGCATCCTCAGAGTGACTGCAAAAATGCTTCCCCCAGTCTTGGAGTCTACAATACCAGAGTTCAGACTCATTCCCTTGACAGGAAACATTGTCAAGCCAAATGGGTCCAGAGCCCTCACTGGCATTCACTCGACCAGTGGTGGCTACGGCTGTTGGACATCCCAGTTGCTTGCAAACCACAGCAGCATTCTTCCTGTTCCAGCCATCATCGCATACTGTCCCCCATTCTCCTTGGAATTTCACTTCTAATCTTCCAGAACATTTAGTGGGTCCATCTGCCAGCATCAGGCTCAGATTTGCTCCATCTGTAACAGGGATACACAACAATCCAGAAATAAGAAAACATGAATATGGATGCCCATGAGTAGCTCAACCCAAGATGAGCTACAGAAAAGGGGAGATGAAGACAGCCATGGACTATTAACTCTGAAAATCATTAAAGATGAAAAGAGGTGTGGGTCAGGTGCTTTAAAAAAGTTTCAGTGGAGAAAAAGACAAACCAGATGACATGGTTTAAACACCTGACACCACCTATAATCTCTGCCTTTCTCAGATTTTTTGGGGGGGCGGAATTAATGTTCTCTTATTTTTAAATAAGTTTGAATTGAATTTCCTTCTTTTGGTGAGGTTGAAGGAAGGAGGAAAGAAAGGATGGAGGGAGGAAGAGGGAGAGAGAGAGAGAGAGGAAGAGAGGAAAAACAGGTTAGGATAGGGACATTTTTCCACTATATTTCCTAATAGTTCTTTGAAGCTCAAGACACAACGTGTGTCTTTCGAACTGAAAAATGAAGTGAAAAAGAAATAGTGGTACCCCTGCTCACACAGACTCGTCTCTGTATCCTTGGATCTAAACATGGAACAGTGTACGTTCACACCGTGACTTTACTATGGATACGATTTCGGTAGGAAAACAAAAGGTAGGCTCTCTAATTTGAGTTTGTATCATTTGATTCTGTTAGTTTGCACTAATGATTTGGATGGGGCGGTTAGTGGGGCAAGGCAGAAGACTTGTCAGTTAGATCAAGGAGTCTTGTGCTCTTAAAAATCAACCAGAGAACACACTTTCCTGGCCAAGCCGCGCTTCTCTTTCTCTTGGACTTTTCTCGCCTTGATTATGATCAGAACTGAAACCCCACATGAAATGGATCAGCTAAGACAGTCAATGGTGACAGAACCAACCATGAACTCTGCCAAAGTGCCAGTTCAGGTGAGGCTCTTGGAAAGCTGAGGACCTCTGGCCTGTTTAATGTTATTGTCTGTTTTAGGGCATGCTGATCATGGTAACTTTCGCTTTGTCCGCTGAGATGTTATTGCTTTTTTAATGAACAGATTACTATCAGTGACTACCCTGCTCTGTGCATGTAGCATGATTTTTTTGTATATTCATTTTTAATTATAAAAACCCTGTTTTCCTTCCTCTACTTCCCCTAGGTGTGCTATCTTATGAGATAATTGCTAGCCTACTTTATTATAAATTCATTTTCATTGAAAGGTTGAAGACTCTGCCTTCTGATTTACAGCACCACGTGAGGCAATAATGGAGGTGGCATTGGAAACGGTTTCATTCTGTTGAAAAGCGTTGAAGCTCTCCGGGCTCTGCCCTCTGTGCTTTGCCCTCTGCAGAGCAGAGCAGCCCTCTCGAGTCCTTACCTAAGCAAATCACTCCAGCGTCCTCAGCATGGTCACAGTTATGCCTTCCCCAGCCTCTGTGCTTGCAGTTCCAGAGAGCTGACTCATTTCCACGGCATCCGAGATCATCAAACCAGATTGGCCCAGAACCTTCTCCAAAACCCGCTGAAGCAGAGAAACTGAGAGCACTTCCACATTGAAGCTGTCTGCAAACCACAGTGGCATGCTCTTTGGTGAAGCCATCATCACACACTGTTCCCCACTGGCCTTGGAACTTCACCTCTATTCGTCCTGAGCACCGGTTTCCGCCATTGGTCAGCCTCAACTCCAGATTGGATCCATCTAAGGCAGAGAAAAGACCAGAGTTCAGAAGCGATACTCATTCAGAAGTGACTTCAGAATATAAGGTTCCTCTGAGCATTTACGAGTTGATGCTGTAATTAGGATGAATCCTTAAAATCTACTCCACACGTAGGAGAACTGTAGCCCTTAAGATCTGGTTGACAACACAGATATAGACTTTATTCCACATCTACTTAGCAAGAAAAACATTTTGCAGGTTGCAGTTTTTAAACTACTTGCTTTGTCTTGTTTTCTTTCGTGACTAACACAGAAGTAAATACTCTTGTACAGAGATGCATAGATTTGAGTCCAATTGCTTATTTTCAATAAGTAAAAAGAAAAGAAAATAGGCAGACATAGCAAAACAGTACAAACAACAAGCCCGTCACTTGTTGGGCATTTAAAGCCTTTATTTTAACTTTTATGACAAATTATTCAGAGCATGAGAGCTGACTAAAGTTTAAAAGTAGAAAAAGCAGAAGAAAGCAGAAGTATGCAAAATGACTTGCAAGAAAAAAAAAACAACACCCTGTGGTAAACCGAATTTTCAGGAAAAGATAATACAGTTAATTTATTTCTTGTCATTTTTTTCTTTGAATCTTTTATACTCCCCAAACCACTGGCTATCATCTTTAAGCAAAAAAAAATTATTCTTAAGGGAATTTCTCTCTCTATACTAACTCATGAATTTCCTCTGATGGCTAAAATATCTAAGAAAAGGGGATTTTGGATGAAATGTTGAGACACCTGGAAAGCAACACTTAGGTGTAGCTCAACAAAATGTTTAGAAGTTTAACTTGCTCTAAACTGCAGTCAAAGATGCTCACGTAACAAGGTTACTTATTATTATTGTCATTATCCAGGGCAAAGCGTAAGAATCATTTTGGTCCCCATCATGACTTCAAGCATTGTGTACTACTCATCATTGCCGCCCCAACCCTTCATGGATCAAGCAAGCTGAGTTTAGGTCATTGGCACACTGAGACGCTAATAGAGCCCGGGTAAGAAGGAGCGGCAGCAGCGTGCGGGAGCATACTCCCTTGACGATCATGTTATGTTGCCTAATATCAGAGTGAAATCTCCCCAGAGGGAGAGGCTCTAAGGGCTGGGCACTAATTAGGGTGCAGAGGTTGAGACTGCAGCCTCCACGATCTCATGAAATTAGGGATTTCTTCAGGGTTGTACATTCTTTTCTATTATTGATCTCTCAGGGTGGAATTAAGACCTTCCTTAGTTAATAACAAAAACAGAAAACAAGAGCGGAAAATAACACTGATACTTTAGCAAAACAGCAGCTTTGCAACAATAATAATTATGATAATGGCCTGGTAAGAGTTATGGTTTTGAATTTTGCTAGGTGTTACTTTAGTTATTCCTAGCCCTCCCATGATGACTAAATGGTAAGCGCAAAGGAGGGAGAGGAGAAGAAGGAGGAGAAGGGAAAGAGAGAGAAAGTGGGGGAAAGAGGTGGACACATGCATACAACCTGGCGGAGCGTGGGGAGAGGGAGAGGGGAGGACTGCAGAAAGGAGGGACAGGAGAGAGGGTGGGAGGAATGAAGAAAGAACGAAACTGAGCCAAAAGATGAAACTCAGAAGTGAATATTTTCCAACCCCAGTGAAGTGTACCACCACCTTTGCATACCATATTATCAGAATTGTCAGAAAAGTGAAGTTTAGAAAAAGTTAACAACTTGCACGAAATTGTAGCATTATTGAGTGACTAAAATCAAATCATCAAATCCCCATCATATCGCAATGCTTGGGTAGACTATTCCTTTCTATGATCAGTCCTCTGTGGGAAAGAAGAGAGAGGCTGGCAAGAGAGAGGGCAGCACAGAAGCCAATTGGATGGTCAAGGAGAAATGTGGAGTGCGGAAATTGGATCAGAAACATGACCTTGATATTTGTCAGCAGAAAGGCTTTCCATGTCATTTCCAGGTTATTGAGGTCAGCTGAGATAAAATTTATGAAAAGTTTTATGAAAGGAACCCATAATGTAAATGAAATGGTACAGTGTACATGAGAAATGACATGAAGTGATTCAAAACACTCATGAAAAATGTGCATTACTTTTTAAATTTCACTTTTCCATGAACTTGTTGAAACCCCTTCATTCCCTCAGAGCATTCTTCTTCCAATAGGAAGGGTTTACTGTTCTAAGAATATTTGTTCCTTGATTCACAAAATGAATCGTTAGTTACTGGAAAAAGGATAATAATTTGTGGGTCAGTACATTCCATCAACATGTCACTGGGAACTAGGATAAGGAATTATTTTAGATAACTGGAACTCCTTATGTAAGAATAGGAAGTTATAATAGACTACTTAATATAAAACTGAAGTCAAGCAGGCACTTCCTCACTGACCAGTGTCCAGGTTCTCTCTCTTTTTAAAAGTAATAACTTCTAGTTTTAGATTTATCGTAGGGCAGGCATTTAGCCTAGAGGTTAAGATGCAGGCTAAGTGTCCCTTGTTCCACACTGGAGTGTCTGGGTTCAATCGCTCTGGCTCCTGACTCTAGCTTCCTGCTAACATAGACCCTGAGAGGCAGCAGATGATGGATCAAATAATGGGGCTCCTGCCACACATACTGGAGATCCGAATTGGGTTCCCTGCCCTCAGTTTTGGCTCTGGCTTAGCCCCAGCCTTTGCAGATGCCATGTCCAGTACCTGAATAAAGTTCAATCGTCATAATAATTTATTGAGGAGATGGAGGTTTAGAAGAATTAGAAAGGCAGCCAAAGTCATAGAGCTGGTAAGTGTCTGGCTGATGTTCCTCATGAAACACTTGCCTGTAACAGGTACCTGTAAGACTGAGTGCCATTGCCCTGTCTGGACACATAGCTGTCCAGCAGCACTGACCTCATCTAGAAGTTGGCAAAATGCAGACTGAGGCTCTGCAGTTTAAAAAAATCTGCATGAATGGTTTGCATGTTAGTATGTGAGAAGCTGTGGTCGCACAGCTTCATTCTCTCTGTGCTTGTACATCGTAATCTTGAAAAGGAGATCAGAAGCTTTCCTACACCTTCATTCATGCAGCAGGTGTGTGGATCATCCATCATGGTGTGGGGAATCTCAGCTGCCTTCCAGCAGTTTGCCTCGACATTGTGCATGAAGGCTCTGCTGACTCTGCTTCCTGCTTCATTCTAGTCCTGTTTGGTTTATCTACTTTGAAATGCTTGTGTGTTGGCCACTGCTGCATGCTGTCCTGACTGGACATGCCATACTGTATGTTTCTGCTCATGTGTTTGGTCTGGGCTAGATTCTGTCACAACAGAGCTTTTCAAACCCTTCAAAAAACAACATGGAAGGCTCGCATTGTAGTGCAGTAGGTTTAGATGATGCAAGGATTTGAACCCATGTCATCTTTGTAGGAAACTCAGATAGAGTTTCAGACTGCAGCCTGCTCCAGTCGTAGCCGTTGTAGCCTTTGGGGAAGTGAACCAGCTGATGGAAGATTTCTCTGTCTCCCCTCTATATAATTATTTTTCTTTTAAAAATATTTACTTATTTATATGAAAGACAGCTACAGAGAGAGAAGGTGAGACACAGAGAGTTCTTTCATCTGCTGGTTCACTCCCCAGATGGTCACAAGGGCATGGAGTGAACCAGGCAGAAGCCAGAAGATTTTTCCAGGTCTTTCATGTGGGTGACAGTGGCTGAAGTACTTGGTCCATTCTCTACTACTTTCTCAGGCACATTAACAGAGAACTGAATTGGAAGTGAAGCTGCTGGGACACAAACTAGTGCCCATAAGGGATGCCAGTATTGAAGGTGACATTGTAACCTGGTATGCCATAATGTCAACCCCCAACTCTTCCTTTCAAATAAAACAAATAATTCTTGAAAAAAATTATATTAGCTTTATCAGGTGTTTATCTGATATTCTAGCAATGGATTAAGTAATTTTATACATGGTCTAGATTATTTACAGAAAAAATGGTTTCTTCTAGCTTTTAATCCATCTACACATATTTTTCTCATCAAGAATTTCATATTGATACTTTGGTTTACATTCTTACCTGAGCAAGTTACTCCAGCATCTTGTTTGTGGGTACAATTGTGCTTTCCCCAACCATCATGCTTGCAATTCCAAATGGCCGATTCATTTCCTCTACAGGAAACATGGTCCATCCAAATGCGTCCAGTGCCTGCGGTGGAATTAGCCCACCCAGTGGCCGTGATGGCAGTGGGACACCCAAGCTGTCTGCAGATCACAGAGACTTCCTCCATGCCCCAGTCATTGTTACACACCGTTCCCCATTCTTCCTGGACTTTGATTTCCACTCTCCCACTACATGCGTTTTCACCAGCTGTTAGCCTCAGCTGCTTCTCTGCTTCTCCTGCAACGATGGGTTAAGACAGAATTGGATGAGTCACAAAGAGAAGAGACTGATCGTTTTTTAGGCTATTAATGTATCTTTCAAAGTCATCTTGGTCCCATCTGTAGTACAATAGGAGAATGCTGTTTCACAGGCATTCACATGCATCTGTTAGTATTACAGGCTTCAAATGAAGAAACGTTGTAGAATCAGCAAAACCAAGTAATACATTACTATGTAATGCGTCTATTTTATGGCTGGATATTCTTCATGGTGGAATTCTATGAACTCACCATGGATCATTTTCCAGTTCAATAAGATGAATGGAACAAACTAGCTAATTTCTCTCAAATCCCAAAAATTGGTAGAAAGATGGCAGACAGAGGATTAAAAATAATACTTATTTGACATGCATGTCAAAACCAGCATGATTTTTAAAACCTGAAACTCTTGAGCTTAAGTGGAAATTGAGATGGCAATAGTTGCATATTACCTTCTGTGATATAAACTCCTCAGAACTCTGCCCCAAAAGATGCCAACTGCCTCTTTGGCATCATTTTGATTGAACTTAGGAGCAAAGCTTGGCTTCCTTCAATATACAAAAAGATAAAAGTTGGCATTTGGGTTAAGATGCTTTAAAAATTTCTTTTATCCCAGTAGTTCTGAGATATTATCTTCTGTATAGTCATACTTGCTTTTCAGCTAGTTATTACTATTATTTTTTAATACAGTTTCCCCTGAGAATGCCCCTTATCTTGCAAGGGAAGCCATGCGTAAGTTCTGATTGTCTGCTTTTTAATAACACCTACTCCATTGAATTAGGTTCAGTATGTTAGTGTTTAGATGCTACTCAGCTCTCAGAGGTATTATTTGTTTTTTAATGATTATTTTTCAGTGTGGGCTCTTAAGTAAATTTGGCAAAGTACTTACCAAGAGAACTGGCAATGAAGGAGGCACTGAGGAGTGAGACCAGAGCAATAGTGAAGGGATGCAAGTGGATGAAATCTCTTCTAAAATCTGTGGGAAGAAAGGGCGGGGGCAGAAGGCAAGTATAGTCTTCCTCCAGGAGACTCTGGAGAAGGTGGAGAGTTTCAGAGGTTTGAGAACAACAAAGAATGCCAACCCAGAGGGAAAATCTTTCTTTCTCAAAGAAAGGAAAAAGTATACAAGATCCTACAGTCTCAGTGCAAATGCTTAGCAAATGTTTGTGTTTAGGGGCAAGCAAGGAGTGCGGGTTTAGAAGAAATATGGGGTGGAACCCAGAATTCCAAGGAAAAGTCCTGAACTCTGGAAAGCTGGAAAGGCAACAATGAAACAGTAGTGAATATTTCCCCCTTAGAGCCAGTTACAGGGCAGGTTTTCTGAGATTCCTATATTCCCATTCTGCCTGAAGTTTCAGCTACCGACATTCCATCTGTGTATCTCCTGAACCACTCTACTGAGGTAAGTTCTGAAATGGGGTGCATTATGTCTATTACAACCATGGTAACTTCATCCATACCTGGTACGGTACCTGCTTAGTGGCAGCTGAGCAATGGAGTGAATGCTGCTATCTGAAAAACTCCCCAAATTGGATCCCTTCATCTAAAACATTCTCTAGTGTTGGTAACAATCCATTTCTTTTGATCTCTCTAACCCAACACTAAAAGAAAGAACACTAAATTATTTCCACATGTTCATATAAGTTATGAAGTAGATTTCAGTACTCAAGTTGTCACTCTAAATTTCTCCTAAATAATCAGCTTTTAACCATCAATGACTTTCATATTCAGTATAGTTCAGTTAACTTCAATTCTTGGCTTAATTTCATTTCAGAAGCATTATGATCCATGGAAACTCCAATCCCTTCCTTAGACCTTCACATTTAATGTATAATACATCAAAAACACTGCCTTCCAAGCATGATGGTCCTTCTCTATTTCATTCTTTCTTGATACCAATCACTTATAAATTTTATTTATTGACTGACAGAATAGTTCTATACTGCTAAGAGTGAATAGAGAATAAAAGTTTTTACCAATAGATGCGGAGTATTCAAGTAGTCCCATTCTGAGCTTGCCTAGTCCAAAGTTATGGCATTGAAATGATTCCTAGATCTTGTATCATTCCGTAGAAGTGTTCTCTCAAGAACTGAACTTCTGTGAAAAAAAAAAAAAAACCCAAAACACTCCGTCACATAAATACAAAGGCTATATAATGGAGGAGGAGGGGTTAACCCAAAAAGGGAAGTCATTGGAAGAGCTTGGGCTTCCTTTCGTGCTTGTGTTGTCTTCAATATGGGACATGAAACACCCAGAGGAAATTGAGAAACACTTCCCACTGATTTACAGAGCTTAAGCGGAAATATTAATATTCTGTTGTTGCACTGAATATTTTTAAATTTTTGAACTTGATTTTGAACTAATATCTTAGACATATGAAAACCCAATACTTATTATATAATTAAATGATGCAAAGCTAAAGGAAAACAGCCAAAACACAATTAATGTTTTATCATTAGATTCACAATGGTCACTTTTATAAATGTTTTAGTGCAGAGACCAGGAATGGGGAATTCCTTGCAAGCCTCCAGTGTGAGTGGCAGAGATTGTCACTTGAGTCATCACTGCCGCCTCCAGCTCTGTCCTGGCAGGATGTCAGAATGAAGAACCGCAGATGGACCCCAACCCCAGTGCTCCAGTGCAGGAGGCAGGCACCCTAGCCACTAGATTAAATGCTCACTGCACCTCACGAGTTATTGTGCGTGGCTTGTGTGTAGAAAACATGTGTGCTTCTTTTCCAACAAGTGGAGAATCCCAATAAAATCAGTGATGACAATTACTGATGACAAAAGGGTAAGCAAAAAAATGACCAAAACACTGCTTTAGCTCAAAGAACTCCGATTGAAGTAAGGGAAACCATGTAACAATAGTAAGGAGCATTGGTTCAAAGAACGGGACAAAAACTAAAGGAAAAAGTGATTAATCTTCACAGAAATAGGTATAAGCAATCAGAGAACTTCATGAAGAGAGACTTACAAAGTTAAAAGACACACTTTTGAATTTTAAAATTTGAACAACTACTAACAGGCAATCATGGCATAAACACAGAGCCACTAGAAAAAATTTCATGGAAAGTGCATATTATGAATAGAAAGAATGAGTGGATTTAAGCAAAAATAACCTGTTTTTTTTTTCCCCCTAAAGATTTACTTAATTTTATTGGAAAGGCAGAAATGACAGAGAGAAGTAGAGACAGAGAAAAATATCTTCGATCCACTGGTGCACTCCTCTAATGGCCAGAATGGCCAGAACTTAGCTGATCTGAAGCCAGGAGCCAGTGACTTATGGGTCTCCCACGTGGGTTGAGGATACCAATGCTTTGAGTCATCCTCTCGTGCTAATTGTTGTTTTTCACTGGTGTTTGTGCTTGCTGGAGACTGTGCAGCAAGTATCAGTAGCCCAAGGAGTGAGATGGGTCTGCACTGAGTGTTTTGGGAACGTACTCAGGTGATCTTCATGCAAAGCAACAGTTGACCAAGGCCTTAGCTAAAGCTCTCAGACACAGAAGCTTGCAGGGAAGGTGAGCAGCAGGCAAGCAGGCTGGGCGGTATCGCTCAACTCCCACATCTGCATTGCAATATAAGAGAAGTTTGTCCACTCTATTTTAAGCATAAATAAACAGACATTTTTAAAACAGTGAAATAAATAAATGTAATAGAGAACCAGTCGTGAGAACTTGTGCGCCCAGTGAGGGATCCTGCTCTCTTCTTCCCCCTGGGCACATGATGGTCTCCTGATGGTCTCAGGGGTTGGTCAGCACTGGGATGAGGATGTGGCTTCAGGCTATCACCAAGTCTTGGTAGACAGATCTGATCCCCTAAGAAAACGAAAACCTCTGGGAAGAGCTCGGCAGTGCTCCTCTCTTCCGTTCTAGCCTCTGGTCTTTCTGTGCATCTCTTTTTTTTAGCTGCGTAACGTTTTCCCTCTTCACTCTGGTTCCTGCTGTGCAAGCCAAGACAGTACTCAGTAGAAATGTGGTCTTGTGATCTTCTTATGTTCTATTTGTTGAATATTATGACTAGAGGTAAATTAAGCATGTGATGATACAGTAGATTAAAATCGTGTCTATACAAATACTGATGGACAGAAGAAAGGATGGAGGGACATTGGTGGGGGTGGAGGGCGCAGAGCAGCAGAGCCTGGAAGTGTGTCTCCTTGGAACTGTATTTGTGCAACACATAAAATATCTATTCTCTTTTTATTAATAAAAAATAAAATAATAATAGAAACTATATGGAAGCTATTAAAAAAAACTTTGGAACTAATGAGAAAATTCAATTGTTTCAGGCTGTAGATTGAGCATAAATAGTACTTCTGTATGTTCATAGTACACTATCTAGAAAAAGAAATTTTAAAAATCCCATTTACAATAGTTCCCCAAATACTTGAGAAAAAAATTTAATCAGAGGTCAGGGATCTGTAATAAATATCATAAAATACTGGCAAAAGAGGGACTAGCATTGTGGCACAGTGGATACAGCAAACATGTGGGACTCAGCAACCCAGAAGAGGCCAGCTGAAGTACCAGCTGCTCAACTTCCAATCCAGCTTCTTACAAATGGGAAAGCAGCCCAAGTGCTTGGGCCTCTGCACCTGTGTAGGAGAGACAGAAGAAAACTTGGCTCCTGGCTTCTGTCTGATCCAGCCATGATTGTTGTGTCCCTTTGGGAAGAGAACCAGTGGATAGAAGACTTCTTTTCCTGTCTCTCACTCTCCTTGTGCACACTTCCCTTAAAACAAATGTCTGCTTTAAAAATGAATAAAGTAAATCTTTTATTTTAAAACAAGGAATTACAAAACTTTTGGAATTTCCTTGATTTGTTGTTTTTCTGCTATCTTGGAAAGTTCCTTGTCTCTTAAGTCTAAGTTTTTCTCCTCAAAATCCTGAGTGCAAGGTCTTCTGATTCCTCTATGATCTAAATATTAATGTTTTACTTGATCCCAAAACATTTCCTCTTCATATTTTAGTATGTTGAATATAAAGTTGAGCTAAATATCTGTGTAAACTCAGTCATTTGCTTTAAACATAAAAAGTGTTGATAATGACATGCTATAGCATATGCTTGTTGGATACACAGAACTTACACAGGCTCGAAGCTGACTAATAGCTTACTTTTAATTCAAAGTTGTCTCATTTTTTTTGCTCAGTTCCAGTAATCGGACTTCTGCTTTTTCCATGCACTGTGCCAAAGTGTCAAGCATCAGTTCCAGGAACTTGCCTTTCTTCGATCTCTCCAGATTCATGGGTGCTTCAATGTTCAGGGCCTGGGAGCAGAAAGCAAGAGAATCTAGAAGATTCGGAGGAGTGGCAAGTGGGATATTAATACAATCAATTTTTCCCTTTCAACAGTGATGCTGTATACAATCTAGAAAAGATCTTGCAAAAGGAAAAATGTGTAGGCAATAATTTAAAAAAGCATAGGTTTGGATAGTGTGCAGTGATAAATGGCATATGATATGATTAATCAGATATAGTTGGTAGGTTCACCAGTGACTTATTATAATTTAAATGTACGACCAATGAACTAAAGTACACGCATAATGAATGTGGTAAGAGAGTTTCCAGTGATGTGATTTTCATTTCCTGTAAAATGTGAATGAACGACATACAGAGAAGGGATAGACTGAGCTGAATGACAGAGCTGAGGGCCCAGGTGAGGGTTAAGATCGCTATTCAAAATGGTTTCTATCTGTGCAACAACTGTGTCATTTTCTTGAGTTGTGATTGCAGACAGGGGAGAGAAGCAGAATGAAGTTCAGCTATGTACCCCTGAGTCACCCACACATTACTTCCCCATCATTGTGTAGCAACTCATCATTCTAGTAAGTGGTCATACTATAGTCTTGCTGGGAAACAACTACTTTCTCTTCCTTCCATTCCTATTAAAAAAAAAAAAAAACATACTGCTGGCTAAAGGATTTCTAGCCCCCTGAGAAATGTTCTAGCAGAAGTACTGTAGATGGTAAGTTTTTCTTGTACTCTTCAGTATTTGCTGCCACTTCCAAGAACAATGACATTAAAAGTTCAGCTAAATATAAAGTTGGATAACAGTGTTTTCAGAAACAGGACCATATTGCATCATTGCTGAATTCTGCCAAATGTTTCAAGAACGAATTCCAATTCTTCTCAGATTATTCAAAACAATCGAGGTAGGAAATTCTCTAAATGGCACCCTGTAAAGATAGCATTATCTTATTGTAAAACCAGGAAAAAAAAAGATGCAATAAAGAAAGAACTATAGACCAGTAACTCTGATACACGTGAATACAAAAATTTTCAAAATACTAGCTAACAGAATCCAGCCACACATCAGAATGACTTATTCCTGATTTTCAAAACACACACATACATCAATAAATGTGAATCATTACATTATAAATTGAAATTTCAAACCCAAATTATCTCAATAGATGTCAAGAAAGCATTTGATAAAATACAGCATTTTTTCATGATAAAAATTGTAGGCAAATTGACTCATTCTTCAACACAATCAAGCCAATTTGAAAAACCCAATATCAGCATCACATTGAGTGGATGTATTTCCACCAAGATCCAGAACGATTCTCATCACTATTACTCAATATTATCCTGAAAGTTTTATACAGAGCTATTAGATAATAAAAAGAAATTAAAGGGATTCAAATTAAGAAGGAGGAAATAAAATTATTTCTGTTTTCAGATGCTATGATCCATTACATTGGGAAAGTTGCAGTTTACAAAATGAGCACACAAGAGTCAACAGTCTTTGTATACACAAACGATTCCATATTTGAGAAAGAACCTGTAACACCATTCTCATTCATAATAGCTGCAAAGAAAATGTAAACATTGAAATAAACTGAACCAAGGATGTCAGGGGTTACTATAATGAAAATCACCCAACGTTAGTGAAAGGAACAGAAGACACCAAAGATGAAAAAAATCTTCCATGTTTGTACATTGATACAATTAATAGATCATCAAAACCTATATACTATCAAAAGCTATTTGCAGACTCAATATGATCCCAATAAAAATACCCATGACATCCTTCTCAGATCTATAAAAAAGGATGCTAAAATCCAGTTAGAAATATAAGAGACTTCAAATACCTAAATCAATCTTAAA